AATTATTAATCAATGAATCAAACAAATAATCAACAGATTAAACTAATTGCAAAGTAATCGTTAGTTGCAACCCTAATGAAGATCATCCCTAGAAGGGCCATGCAGTTAAAAACAAAGAGCACATTCAATGTTTGAACGCCCAAATTTGTAACCCGTGCAAATTGGAAGAATGGTGGCAGTGGATGCTGATAGACACAGTGTGCAAAGGTCACAAAGAGTTAATTTTTACAAATCCCTGTGCAAATTCTCATTCATACAGGTCATGGCAACCACAAAACAGGTTTAAAACAAAGGAAACCGGAGACTTGCAAAAGAACATTTTCAGTTCACAAGGGAAGATCCATAAAGACACTGTTTGGCATAGACAGGTGGCTTGGGGAGGAATTAGAGCGTAGACAGACAGCCAGGACTGATAAGTGGTCTGTTATTAAATATTTGTATAAACATGCTCTTTAATCTTGTGGCAGCATTTGTAGAACAGATAAAGCAATTAAAGCTGCAAAGTGTGGCTCAATCTCAAAGCTAACCGAGAGGATAAACCTCATAGTGCTTTTGGAAATATAGTGTGTGTAGAAAATAATGTTTGCCTTTGAACTAACATACCTTTCCTGTTGACTTGATTCCTTTCCAGACACAGAAGTAGCAGATGATCCAACTCAGGATGAGGCACAATGCCAATTCCCACCTCACCCCACCCATCTCTTCAATCCCACCAGAGATCTTTAAAACTCGTTGTCTGGTCAGATAAATGTTGTAAGAGAGTGAGAAAAAAGGAGATTAGGGCTGAATGACATATGTTGAAAGGGAAGAAAACGAAATAGATTTTTTTGTGACTATCTGTCCTCTTGATCCATTGTCAGTTATCACTGCTCGTAGTGAGCCTGATTCTTTTGGAGGGCACCACAAAGTTGTCTGCCTTCCTTTCTAATTTCTGGAAAGTCAATTTCTTGCAATGCCACTTGAACAGATAGAAAAAAATGTAGCACAAAGTATTTCAAACTGAATTATACATGTCCTTTAATTTAGATCTGTTAATATAAATGAACTGGATTATGCAGTTCTTAAACATTGCCTATGAACTGTACCTGTGTTTCAGTATAGTTTAAATAACAGAACTGAATATAATAGCACTGAATTGAATTAAACTGCAATAGAAGTCTGCTGCACACTTAGTTTGGTTCTCCCAGAAGTGTTTTATCCATTAATAAGGAGGTTAACCTTCCACTGACACTACATGCTTGTTCAGCATTGTAGATTGCTGCAAAATTAACTACTTTAACAGGCTGTTAACTGTCACAGCATGACTGTTTGGTAAGGAGGGCTGCCACAAGGTAAATGGATTAAATAAACTTAATTGCATTTAAATGTATTTAGCAATCAAAGAAACTCTTGGAAAGAATTACTTTCTTAGATACGTAGGTTTATATCCCATTTGCTAAAAAAAGAAAATGGGATATACATTTAAATGCAAGAAATTTGAATAACCAATAGGAGTCGTGTATATATAGTAGAAGCCACGGAATATATGTAACTTTAATTTTAATGTGACTGCATGACTGGACTAAACTGACAATACATTACTGTACACAGCTTGGGATTAAACTGAACTGAAGTTGGGTCTGAAAAAAAAATCACACTGTTAAGGTTATAAATTACAAGGATGCATCTGTCCAATTTACAATTTTGCAGCAGTATGCAGTGTTTTGTTACATTCATTTTCAAAGTTATAATGTGGCAAAATTCGGAAAAGGCGCTGAATTTAGAAGGAGACTAAATAAAACTGAAAAGGAGCTGATGCATAGGAGATATTGACAGATGACCCAGAATGAGGGAAGAGATGAAAGAAGGAAGATAAGGGAAATAAATATTAAATAAACTGTCTAACTTGTAGGAACATATGCTTACTGCCAGAATTCCACAACTGGGAGCTGCAGACACTATAAAATGAGTCACTGAGTCACTATGATGACTGTATCTTTTTCATGTCATTAACTGCCCAAACATTTTTTTTAGATCACTGTTATTCTCTTTCATATACCCGGTTCAGCTGAGCACCTCACTGCCAGCTGCAACAAAGCAGACAGTGAGACATGAATGAAGCGGTAAAAATTTAATGGGTGATACTGTATAACCACAACCTTCCTTCCTCTCTTAAAGGAATTATGTCAAAATGTTCACCAAAAAATATGCTGGATTTATGCTTTATTAGAACCACAAATGCTTGTATTACAAAGCCATGCCCACCACTTGGCGTGTTGGAGAATAATTTTATTATGTTATTACCCAAACAGCAACACGCAGGTAATTACTTGGTTTATGGGTACACTTTGTGATAACTAATCATAATAAAATCTAGAGTTGTGCTGCCAAAATTATCTCTCTTTCAGACAGTCAGCATCCAGGACCAGCAGGTGGAGCAGTGACAGACATTTAGGGATCTGGAACAAAAACTGAGATTCAAATTTCTTAGAGCACACAGACTAAATTCCTTTGTTTTTTCAGGGACAATAATGTCAAAAACACATGAAGAAGAACATTTTAACACTGTTATTTTAAATCTGTTGTTTAATCTTTCATCTTTTTCAGCATTTTACTCTGCTACCAGGCCAGCAAAAATGAATGTTTGATCTCAAACATCCCTCTCCATGCACTGCACAAAATGTAAATCTAAATAAGTCATTTTTTCTTAAACTAAGTGTATTTGTTCTTGAATTGAGGAGGTAAGTGAGACACTTTGCCGATTGGAAGAAGACAATTTACTCTTAAAATAAGAAAAAGCAACTACGTTGTGTTATTACAATTGCATATTATCTAATTTTAAGAATAAAAATACTGATTTAATTGGCAAATCATCCTATTTACCTACTAAAATTAAGGGTAGATACTCTTAATTTTAATAAAATTTTACTTATTTCTAGACTATTTTTGCAGTGTGCTGCTTAGCCATGAAGAAGACCCTTCTCCTCCAGAATTGAAGAATTCCCAACAATGGCTATCCGTTCTCAGGAAGCTGATACGGAATGGTCTTTCTACTTTGTTGCTCACAAACCATCATAAAGCCACAATTAAAAGATACTTGTGTCTTAGTGTAACGGTGTGATATGGAAGCTGACCGTGGGATTCTGTCTGATAGATCTGGTCTGAGTGTATACTACAACACTCCAGAAAAGCACTCTTGATATCTATGTCTTAAACTTGAGGGTAAGTTTTGTCTTTTTAGCCCATAGTTTCCAAACTAAATAAGAAAGTTTGTAATTAAGAAGTAATAATGAAATGTCTGTTTCAGAAATATGCAGCAACTGCATAGAAAATCTGTAACAGAACTCCAGCATTTATACAAGGTTTTGAAAGCTAATAGGAGCTAATATCTGTCTTTATTCTCCATATCTACAGAAATAACACTCAATAAATTAATAACTTTGTTTTTTCTTTGTGAAGATGAGTTTTTTTTTTTTTTTTTACAAATCAGAATATGGGAAATAGGCAAATTTTAGTTACTGTTAAAAGGTGCTTTTTGGATTGCTGACCCTGGTTTGAAAATTTTAAGTTGACATTTTTAGAGAAACATTAATTCAATTCAGTGTGTTTTACCTTGAAAAAGCGGACAAATGTGTCGCCAGCACGTAATTCCGCCTTGGCTTGTGTACTGCCCTAACGCAGTTTCAAGGAAGAACAGTGGGATCCCACACGTGAATATGAACAGGATGTATGGAATAAAGAATACACCTAGAGAAAAACAAAAACGATGACTTTTATACTTAAATAAACGTGTGAGATAAAGACACTGTGCGTAAAAGCCTGTGCGTAAAAGCCTCACCTCCACCGTTCTTGTAACAGAGGTATGGAAATCTCCAGATATTCCCAGGCCCGATAATTGCTCCCATTACGGTGAGGATGAACTCCGCTTTGGTCCCCCAGTGGCCCCGCTCCTCAACCTGCTTTGGTTTCTCAGTGTATCCATCTGGGACGCAAATCAATGCGTTTCCTTTCACTCCTTTCTTAGTCATCTTTACTTTTCGTCACAAACGCTGAGCTTTGTGAGCAAAAGTTGTGGCACATAAACAGGCTACCAAGCTGGAGGAGAGAGAGATCTGCTGGGATGTGAGCTGAGCTTTCTTTCATTATCTGCTGGTATCGCAGCTATTTAAGTTGGAGATGGACTCCTGTGAAGTGATGATGGGGGGCGTTTCTTTGTAGAGTTAAAAAAGTGTAGGCTTGAAGTTTGGTGAAGCAGAATCATTTGCTTTCATACTCAGACAGGGGCGGAGCTAGATGGGGGGCCAGGGGTGGCCATGGTCACCATAAGCCACTCATTGGCCACCCCTGTGGCCACCCCTACCATTTTTCCCTCTAATACAGATGGTGGCAGCAGTAATATGTGAAATGTTCTAACTTATTTAACATATACATTTTTCATGTGTTAACAGTTTGTTGACAACAAAAACACAGTGGTTAATTATGCACATCAATATACCAACATTAAAGATGATAAATACAGAAATCATGCTCTTTTTGAAATGAGATTTTGCCTTATTTGGTAAAGAAAAAATTATGTATCTGCAAGTCATCTATGAGCCTTCAGTGAACTCAACATTTTAATAATAAGTAATCAATTTAATATAGATATTAATACATGTAAATATGAATTTTATTCAGAACGACTTGATGAAAGTAATGACAATGAATAAGATTTGCCCCAGAACTCAAACCTGAAAGAATTTTGTCCACTATACGATTACTTTAGACAGCATGGATGTTTAAATATATGTGTCTATGTTTTAGCAAAGGCTGTAGGAAATTATAGTTAGTCTTTATTTAGAAAATATGGATGTTGTGGTTGTTCATTTTCTTTTTAGAACAGTGTAGATTGACCCTGAGCTTCACGTGCCTATCCACTTTTTGCCACACCCTAGTGTACATTGGTTATTCCTTGGCCACTCTTATAACATTTTTCTAGCTAGGCTTCTGTGTGTGCATGGCGTATAAGCGTAATGTCTCATGTTTAATATGCTATTAATCTGATGTGTTAAAATCAATTATAAAACAGTTTAATCATAGATGCACAGGGATTACTTTCTGAGGGACTGGTGTGGACATGTCCCCACCAATAATTTCCACTTTTTTCCCCCTTTCCACTCATTTGCTTTAGCCAAAGGTAACAGAGGTTGGGTGCAGCTCTGTGTTCAGAGCATTTTGAGTCCTTATTTTTTTTTTTTTGCTCTGTCCCGCAGCTGCCGTGTCCTGCATCTCGGTCCAACATCATCGGATCTGTTGCTTTGTGACATCTGATTTGTGGTCGCATTAGTTTGTTTTTCATTCAGAAATGCCTACAAGAACAAATCTACTGTGAAATATAGGAAAACTGTTTCCCTCTTTGAAAAAGAGATGAAAAGTTTGTAAGAATAGTGTAATTTTTTATCACCGCATGGGGCATCGATTAACTGATCATAGTTTACATAAGAAAAAGATAAATTAACACTAGTAATTCAAATAACACTACACTGAAAAAGTTATAATTTATTAAAGGATAATTCAGCAAAATAAAAATATTAATAAGAATCTTTACTTAAAAACATAATTCTGAAAAATATTTACTATCCCAGACAAACTAGAGTACCTTGCTCATAAACAGTGAACCAATATACCTGTAAACCTGTGCAGAGCTCTTGTTGAACATTTCCTGAACTTTACAGAAAACACCTGATTTCAGTGATTGCCTCATATTGTTAGCTCAGATGGACGGGTGTGTAAACTTTAAAGCACAGCTGTATAGTTGTGTAGTTCAATCATTACATCTATTCAACACTATGCTTTTGAATTTGCAGATATTTACCTTTTATTTGCCACAGTTACATGGGCGGAACAAAATATTTCAGACAGTTAAAGTACGTAGTTCCCCCTGCATAAAGTGAGAATAAATTAATTTACCACACTGCAAAAACGATCTAGAAATAAGTAAAAATGTCTTAAATTAGGTGTATTTACCCTTAATTTGAGTAGGTTAATAAGATGATTTGCCAATGAAATTAGTACTTTTACTCTTAAAATAAGATAATTAGATAATGTGAACTTGAAATAAGACAATGCAATAGTTTTTTCTTATTTTAAATGTAAATTATCTTGTTGCATTGGCAAAGTGTCTCAATCTCTTCTTCAATTCAAGGAAAAATTCACTTATTTAAAAAGAAAAGACTTACCGGTACTTAGATTTCCATTTTTCGCAGTGCAGAAAGTCTTTTACAGCCGTTAAAAATCCCATTAAGGACAACAAACCCTGTGACATTTTCTCTTTGTTTGCATTGGAGGAACCAAAAAGCTGAAATATTCTGCTTCTATAACAAAGGCACAAATTACTTCACCTACAAGCATTTTGCAGTGTTTATTCCTCCCAATATGGACAATAAGCCGTGTAGAAATTAATTTGCTTTTTATTTGCAAGAATTATATGGAATGAACCAAATTTTTCAGTGGGCTGAATTATTTTGTTTCTCCTCCACAACATAATTTACTAGCATCATGGATGTCAATGTGAAGACTTTGGCTCTTTCCTTTCCTTACTTACATAATATGCAATTTTTGCAAAGAAAAATTTTAAGTTCAGATTTCAAAATTACATTTACTAAGATTTCAACAAACTCATCAAACAGGCACTTGACAGAAAAGAGAGCAAACAAAGAACATCTAAAGCAAACAATTCCCTCTTTTTTTGGAGGGCTTCCAACACAGATCTGATAGAACCACCTCAGGCAGGTCTCATCTTGGATATAAAAGAAACAAATAAGAATTTTTTAGGACATGGATGATTTGTGCTTCGATAACATTACAGTAATTGGAGTATTCCTCCCGTGTAACTTTGTCATAAAGAGCAAATATTTTTATGTTCACAAGACGTGTTTGTCCTTGATGGGAGGAATAAACACTGTAAAATAATTGCAATTGAATTAATTTGTTGTTATGTTATGGGGAATATATGATTTCAGTCTTCCGATACATGTGGTTCCCGCCATGTAACTTGGCAAATAAAAGGCAAATGTCTCCAACTATGAAATAACCTATCCTACATGATGAAAGGAATAAACACTGTAAAATACTTGCTCGTAGTGTCATGAAACAGGAGAGATGGACCCAGTGTTCAACGTGAGGCAGCCAGTAGGACAGTTCAAAACGTTTATTGAAGCAAAAACGCACAAAACAGAAACGCGCTGCTGTGCAACTGCCACCGCAGTGACTGCAGGTGCGGACAAAACCCATCACTGATTCTGTAGAGAGAAACACAGGTAAGTGACCACGATCATCTGAACAGAAGATGATAATTAGAGTAGTCACTTACCTGGTTTAACAGTACAGTCCACTCAGAAATAGACAGATCCGGGTTCCAGGAATCCACAAGAGCAC